GACTCTAAGAGATAGATCCAAAAAAATTTTGCTGACATTTATATCAGTGTTTTGCATTTGTTTTCCACTATGAATTTTATAGTATCTGGTCTTGCATTTAGATGTTTAATACATTTTGAGTTTATTTTTGTATGTGGTGTTAGAGAATGTTGTAATTTCATTCTTTTTCATGTAACTATCCATTTATCCCAGCATCACTTATTAAAGAGGCTTGTTCATTCAGTATTCTTTCCTCCTTTGTTATAGAATAATTGACTATAAGTAAATTGGTTTATTTCTGGGTTTTCTATCCAGTTCCACCGATCTGTGTTCTGTTTTGTACCATTGTCATACCACTTTCCTGGTGGCTCAGACGGTAAAGCGTCTACCTACAGTGCAGGAGACCCAGGTTCAATCCCTGGGTCAGGAAGATCTCCTAGAGAAGGAAATGGCAACCCACTTCAGTACTGTTGCCTGGAAAATCCCATGGACAGAGGAACCTGGTAGGCTACAGTCTATGGGGTTGTAAAGAGTCGGACACGACTAAGCGACTTCACTTTCACTTTGATGACTGTAAGTTTGTAGTATAGTCTGAACTCAAGGAACATGATTCCTCCAGCTTTGTTCTTCCTTTTCAAGATTGTTTTAGATATCAGAGTCTTTTGTGTTTTGGTACAAATTAAGTTTTTCTTTGTTTTATGAAATATGTCATCATTAATTTGATAAGGGTTGCATTGAATATGTAGATTGCCTTGGATAGTATGGTCATTTTGACAGTGGTACTTCTTTCAATCCAAGAACATGGTATATGTTTCCATCTGTTTGTGTCATCTTTGGTATCAGTCATCAGCTTCTTACAGTTTTATGAGTACAGTTCTTTTGACTTTTTAGGTAGGTTTATTCCTTAGAATTTTATTCTTTTCTATGAGATGGTGAATGGCATTGCTTCATTAATTTCACTTTCTGATATATCATTATTAGTGTGTAGAAATGCAGCACTTTTCTGTATATTTAGTATCCAGCAAGTTTACTCTTCATGATGAGGTCTAGTAGTCATCTGGTGGCATCTTCGGGATTTTCTGTAGCATCATGGTGACAGTTTTACTTCTTTTTTATTTGTTTTAACTTGAATTCCTTTTATTTCTTTTTCTTTTCTGATTGTTGTGGCTAGGACTTCCAAAAATATGTTCAGTAAAAGTGGCAATAGTGAACATTCTTGTCTTATTCATGTTGTTAAGGGGGGAGTGCTTTCAGTTTTTCCCTGTTGAGTATGATTATTAGCTGTGTGTTTGACATATACAGTCTTAATTATGTTGAGGTAGGGTCCAACTGTGCTGACTTTCTGAAGGGTTTTTATCATAAATGGCACTTGAATTTTGTCAGAACCTTTTCTGCATCTATTGATGATCATATGGTTTTTAGTCTTCAACTGTTAATGTGGTGTATCATACTGATTAACTTTTGGATATTGAGAAATCTTGCATCCCTGCAATAAATCCCACTTGATCATGGTTTATGAGCCTTTTATGTATTAGTAGCTGTTTGAATCTGCTCTTTTGAACTCAGGGAAAGTCTAGGAGAATAAAGCCTTTTTCTACAAAAAGGAGTTGGATGCCTCAGAAAGGCTTTTGTAACTGGGAAGGTCCTCCAGAGTCAGTTTCAATCCCTCCTTTTCTTTGATACTCCTCGATCTTGAGATGAACATGTGTGGAAGAAGAAACGAAGTAAATGTCCAATAGAGAGGTTAATCATACTTGGCAGAGGAACCCAGGTTTAGATAGCCTTTTCGTGGATGTTCCTTCTGATTTCTGCTAATAGGATTATTACACAATATCCTGGAATATTGTGTATGTTTTTCTTGAATATAAGTATTCCATTGTAACTTACAAAATTCACAGTTGGATACATTACATTGTAAATAGTATTATCCTGCTTTCTCCATATATCACAGTGACTTTTAAAATCTCTCTTGTTTCTATCTTTCTGTCTTGTTTCTATCTTTCTTGTTTCTATTATACCCATAGTATAATGTGCCAGGGTCCAGCCTCGGCAGGATCCAGGGGTACCCTCAGGATGAACTGCATTGGAGAGAGAGAGAGAAAGGGAGAGACCAGACTGGGGTGTGCAGCAGAGTCTGGCAATGCTTTATTTTTTACTGTACCTTTTATACTCTAAGTTAGTACATTTCTGAGGGGAAGATAGTTTAACATTACATCACCTTGTCCTTTCGGGAGAACAGGATGTTTTCTGCATTTTATTTCTATAATAAATCTTTGCACATTATCTTCTGGCCTTGGGGCCTATTAACATTTTATGCAAGTCAGGTGAATGTAAACCTATTTTCCGTTTCTGTGGTGATCTTAACAGAAAAGTTACAGTCTCATAGGGCAACAGTACAGCATGTCACAACATAGTAGAAGTATAACCTTGTTAACATAAAAGTCAATTCTTCTGCAGAAGTTGTCAGTTGAATTTATCTAAGAGGTTTACCCCACACAGACTCTGGCTTCAGTGAGGCAGTCTCTGCCTAGCACTCCTGGCTGACAATTAACAACCATCTCATTGTTACCACACTAGGGCTAAGCTCTTATTTTTCTAGATCTTTAACTATATTAACAATGGTTTCCATAACAAAACCTTAGCACATTAAAGGCAAAAACACAGCAAGCAAACGTTAACCCGATAACCACTTTTAGAATAAGTTTTCTTGTGTTCTCTAATAGGGCTTCCTCACCCCGCAAAGGGCTCTATGTCTATTAGGGCCTTTATATGATCAGGTTCTTTTTTTTTTTTTCCCCATTTATTTTTATTAGTTGGAGGCTAATTACTTTACAT